TGGGTTACAAATGTGGGAGTCAATAATATATCAAGATGATCGAAGCCATGAGCTTGCGGAAGGGAGTGTGTCCCTGAGTAAAGAGGACAGAGGGCAGACTCCCCCCCCCCCCGCCCCGGGCCCCCCCCCCCCCCCCCCCGCCCCACCATCACCCTCCGCCAACAAACTAGCATGTCAAGGAGCCTTTGGGAGGAAGAGTCAAATAAAGGAGAAAGGATAATACCACTCCATTCGACAACTGATTTATTCCACAGCCACTTCCCTACTGTGGTGCCAGATGTCCACCTTCTCCCCCTACCTCCCCACTATGTGGCCTTAAACTGAATATATGTTCCACTCTCCAATGCTTGTGAATGTCCTCTTTACCGGTTCCAGGCGTGGGCATTCTGAGAGGGTCAATAGTATCAGACACATAGACTTGGTCTTCTTCCCAGCTGCTTTTAATGGGGATTTACAGTCAAAGCTCCCCACACTCTGCTTTTTAAAAGTTTGCTGTCTAGGTTGAGATTATTATTATTATAAACATAAATGCTTTATAATGGCAGATTTGACTCAAAGGTATGCAGAGCAGTTGCCATGAGCAACACAGAAAATGAGCCCCTGTATTGAAGGGAATGTTTGGAATTAAACTTTTCAGCTTGTGTGTGAGGAACAATTATCAGGCTGTTTTCCCCACGAAGATCAGGTTGTGTAAGCATTGTGTGCTTTGACCTGGGTCTGAGAAGGCCTCAGGAGAGAGCTCTGGCTCTGGAAGCACATTTTTTTTTCCTTTCCGCATTTTTTTGCATCGGTGGCTAAAGGGCTCCCCAACCCACTATATTTGGGGCTCTGGCTAGATCACTTCAGGATTTTTAACAGATGGAAAGTGCTAAGGAGCCATCAGATACTAGTTTGAATGCTCAGTTGCTGCGAATGAACAGTTTTCCTTTTCCTTCTCTCTCCTCCCTCACCCTCATTAACTCAGACAACTCCTTTCCCCACAATGTTTGTGGCAATGTTTTATCCGTGGTGGTGGATGTGTAACTACCCCTGGCTGGCTGTCCCTTGTGATGGGCTTCTGGCTTCCTCCAGAGAAGTAGCTCATGAAGGGGTGCTGTCTGGGAGGGCAAGCAGGCCAGGGTCACTGTGCCCAGCACGTGCATCTCTTCCTGTTTGCAGAAAGTGCTCCTGTTGCCTGAATTCGGCATTGCCACCTTCACAGAACCAGTAACTGGTCCACAAAGACGGCCTATGGCATATTGTACGAGAGTCAACCCTCCCCAGCCTGGTTTTGTTCTCTTGCTGCAGCTTCCGAGGAAATGACTCCCAGATGGTGATACCACAGCTCCCTCTAGTGTCGCTGTGGCTCAGGCTCTCGTGGAGCTTTTCTTCCCTTCCAGAAAGTGCAGACAGGACAGATCTGTCAAAATTGGCGGCAGGTTAAATAGATTTTTCCATAGGTAGTCAAAACAACTATGAGATGATTTTTCTCCTGTTAAAAAGGAGAATCTTACATGAAGATATGGGACCATTCCAGCTCCTATGTTGTTCCTGTTTCAAAATTTGGGGAGGCTTAGAAGTCCTATGGAAATCATTCTTCTTAGGGAGTGGAATCTCTTTGGAAATTCCTGCAGTTCAAGCCAGCTACCCTTTTAGGGAAGGAATGTAAATTCCTTTCAAGAAAGATAAGTGAAAAAGCGAGGCCCAGAAGAAGTCACTTTGCTCCCTGGTAGAGAAAATATCAGGTAAGGGAAGGAGGTCAAAACAACCGGCAGGAGAAACCCTGTCCATTTGTTCTGGAACGAGCGGCTTGTTTTCTGAAATAACTTTTGGACTAGAAATTTATCATCTGAAGTCAGGTCATTTCGAGTTTCCTTTTTTAAACTAAAAGAGTCAAGTTACTAATATTTGAAAAATTGCTACTGTGTGGCACATAGAATCCTTTAATGTTCCTACCTAAACTAATATCATCAGAAGCTCATACTAAAGAGGTATGAGATACTCATCATAAAAGAAATCCTATCTTGGAAATCTCCATAGGTCTATATTTTGATTATAACTATTTTCATGGTTGTGAACCAATTAGAAACCCTAGTTTGTGTGTTTCCTTCTTTTCAGACTTTTCCCATTTCCCTTTACCTTTTAAACTAAAGTGACCTATTATTCTTAGGCCTGTCTCTATATTGTAAGATGGAGAGATAAGGGAGTGCCACCTCAGGCCGGCTATCCAGGCAGGCCATTTTCCTTCAGAGCATCCAGAATGGTTGAACAATTTATCATTTCTCCTTTGTAAATCACTTTGATCCTTTATCTCAAGTTGATCTGTGAAACTAAACATAAATTCTTGTTGTAGTGTCCATGTTCTTGTCTGCTCACACAGCTCTGAGGAGTCTTACAAAACCTTGTGTGTCTGTGTGCAGGCAGATACCACCCGAATAACACGATGTGAGGACCAGTCACAATTAGAATACCCTCTCTGCTTCCAGTGCCAAACCACAGAGTGGCAAGTTTTTTTTCAGTGCAGCTTAGCATAGTAGAAACTACAGAGTGGTCAGACACTTCTTCCTCTCTCTCTCTCTCAGCCTTGGACTGGGTCTGTCTTGGACCAGAACATACTGCCAGTCTGGCTTGTTGCCTGAGTGGGGAGAGGGAGGTGGGCAGGGTTGGACTTTACCTCTTCCTCTCTAGCTGCCTCCACCCAACCCATGGTCAGAGAGCCTCGTTGCTGGGGCAGGTGGTTCTCAAAACTCAAAGAAGGATGCATTTTTCTGTTTTGCTTTTCTCTGTTTGAAAAAAAAACATGAAGATCTATAGTGTGACATCATGTTTAATGTTTACAGGTTATAGTCTTAGTCATGTGCAATGTTACGTTTGTGTAGCTTTGAGATTTATAGGTCGACTCTACAGAGTTGATCTCATTTAATCCTCACAAGTGCCCTATGAGGTAGTAGGTTTCAGGATTTTTTGTATGTTGTCTCCCTTTTTAGGGAGACTGAGCCCCAGAGAAATTGGCTGAGATGCCCAAGTTTACACAGTTCATGTCAGGACTAAATCCCAAACCTGCCAAGTCCTGGGTGAGGGTCCTTTCTGGAAAGTGACTGCTGGAGTTTAACTATAGTCTCATTCAACTCAACTCAGTGGTATTTGATTGACTTTTCAAAGACGGAGGAGTTGGGACCTTTGAACTTTCATTCTAGCCAGCGATGTGATATGGAGCAAATTATTAAAAATGAGAATGGTTTTAATGGTGCCGTGTCCTAGATCCAACTCCTATACAACTAAAAGATGACTGGCATAGGATTTTTTAAATACCTGCTGACACATAAATATGAAATATTGCCAACAGTATAGTATAGAAGGAATTCATGATGTGATTGATGAGCATATAGGAGTATATATTATTCTGCATGTACAGAGACTTTCCAAAGATGATATTTTCTGAAAGATATATGTTTGAACTTGAACTCAGCCTGGGGTTATCTCTCTTTCAAGACCAGAAGTTTTAGTTAAAGAAAAAATGCTTGATGTGCCCTCAAATTGATGAAGTAGGTGGTATAAGATTTGAAGAGAGAAAGATTTCTGTGGTGTTGATCACTGGTGTCAAGACTCTAAGTGTAATAAATGTGTATAAATACAGTAAATGAGAGAAGATGTTCCTTTCCCCCAGATACACCTTTACCTTTGGTCTGGTTGCGGGGGGCAGGGTTCTTTTTGGTTCTTTCTTTCTTTCTTTTTTTTTTTTTCCTGTTATCATGAGAAGTGTACTCTTGAGTCCCCATCACCTAGTTCATATTTTTCTTAGTATCTGTTTGAATGGAAAGCAGAGCACACTCTTTCTCAGACGCGGAGACTCATCAGCACCCTCCCAAGAAAATGTTTTTAAAATAAAAGCTAGAAAATCCTTTTTAAAATGTGTTTCTTTTCTGTATGACTGCAGCAAACAGACAGCATGAACACTTCCGGGGGCATGTTGCCAGGAGGGTTGGATCCCTGTAAAATCCAGCAGCATCTCCCTGCTGAGGATAGGAAACGGGCTCCTCAGGTCCCGGCCCGTGGAGCAGCTTTTCCTGACTGGGCTGTTCCCATCTGTGAATGAGTGTTAGACACTGAGTCCTCCACTGGCCGCTTCTCCACGTCCTGTCATCATAATCCATTTAGGGGTGATTTGATTTACTTTTTGCTTGTCTAGCCCTGGGCGTCTAGAAATATAGTAGATGTTTCGGTATATAGAACTCTTGGCTAATGTTTGTGATTAAAAAACTCTTGCATGATCTATAACCACTTAATAAAATGCTTTTGGAAAGGCCTTCCTGCCTAAATATTGGCCTTTAAAAGAGGCCTGTTAAGAGAAAGCATGAAACTCAGAGTCCTGCCATGGAAATGTTCATTGTGCTCAGACCAATGATGCTCTCCAAGCTTTACCTCTACCTTGCCGGTCAACCGTGCGTGCCTGTTTTGACAATGACTTTCATTTACAATTAGGAAAACCCACACTTCACCTGGCCAACCTTATGTTACCCTCCTGACCAGTGATAAAACAAGGTATCCTGGCTCAATTTATAGAGCTGTTGTGTAAGTCTGGGCTGTAAGCCTCTACAGAAAGTAGGCAAAAATTTATTCTTGGTTGTTCTGTTTTCTAGATGACATACAAGGTGTAGTAGAAAAAGCAAGCTTTGGTGTTAGACAGGCTTGGGTTTGCAAGCTGGTAGCCCTGGGCTTTTTTCTTTTTTCTCTTTCTTTCTTTCTTTTTTTTTACATTCTTAAATCTTCAGCCTACTTCAAAGGGTTAGTGTAAGGACTAGAGATAATATACATGAAGTGCTCAGCGTGTCGATAGCCATAAGAAATGGCTCCTGCCATTATTACTGTTACTAAGCACAGGACTACCAAGACCCTTCCTGAAGACTTCACTGTAACACAGCATGTTCCTAACCAGTCACCTCCCCATTACTCTTCCTTTACACCTCGAAGCCTGGTTATGAAAGGGTATGTTTTACATTGTGTCATTTGCGTTCTTTCAGATCTGTAAGAGCAAAGCGAAAGAGTCGCAGCAGTACTATCACAGCTTGGCTGTCCGCCAGAGTCTGGCTGTCCATTTCAACATCCAGCAGGACTGTGGTCATTTCCTTGCGGAAGTCCCTAATCGTCTGCTTCCCTGGGACGATCCCGATGCCCCTGAAGAGGAAGAGGATGAAATGGAAGAAGCTGAAGAAGAGGTGAAAGGAGAAACAGATGGGAAAAGCCCAGAGCCCTGCTCTGAAACAGAGTCATCCCAGAAATCAAGCCAGGGGCTCATCAGCAGGAAGCAGAGAAGCCACGTGGTGGTCATCACCAGAGAGGTTCCCTATCTCACGGTGGCTGATTTTGTGCGGGACTCTCTGGGCCAGCACGGGAAGAGCCCGGACCTGTATGAGAGGCAAGTGTGTCTGCTGCTCTTACAGCTGTGCTCTGGCCTGGAGCACCTCAAGCCCTACCACGTCACTCACTGTGATCTTCGTCTGGAGAACCTGCTGCTTGTCCACTACCAGCCGGGGGGCACCAGCCAGGGCCTGGGGCCCGCGGAGGCCAGCCCCACCTCATCTTGTTCCACCAGGCTCATAGTAAGCAACTTCTCTCAAGCCAAGCAAAAGAGCCATCTGGTGGACCCCGAGATCCTCCGTGACCAGTCCCGCCTCGCTCCGGAGATCATAACAGCCACCCAGTATAAAAAGTGTGATGAGTTCCAGACGGGCATCCTCATCTATGAGATGCTGCACCTGCCCAACCCGTTCGATGAGAACCCAGAGCTGAAGGAGAAAGAATACACTCGGGCAGACCTGCCTCGCATCCCACTCCGCTCCCCCTATTCCCGGGGCCTGCAGCAGCTGGCCAGCTGCCTTCTCAACCCCAACCCTTCGGAGCGGATCCTCATTTCAGACGCCAAAGGCATCCTCCAGTGTCTGCTGTGGGGCCCCCGGGAAGATCTCTTCCAGACTCTCACCCTCTCTCCCAGCCCGGCACAGAGGAGCGCCCTGCTCCAGAACTGGCTAGACATCAAGCGGACACTGCTCATGATCAAGTTTGCTGAGAAGTCCCTGGACAGGGAGGGTGGGGTCAGCCTGGAGGACTGGCTCTGTGCTCAGTATCTGGCTTTTGCCACTCCAGATTCCCTCGGCTGTATCGTGAAGACCCTGCAACACCGCTAGTCTGTCCTGGATGCTACTTTTCTTTCATTCCCACCTTCCACTCACCTGTGCGCTCCCCATTCCCAGTGCTCCCATGGAATTCAAAGAAAGAAGAGAAACCAACCTTCCATCCCTGTCCAGAAAAAAAATGAGTGCCCTCTGAAGGCTCATTCACGGCTCCACACCGAGTACAAAGCTCAGTCTGTCTTCGCTGTACGGTTGTGCAGTTCCCTTCCATCGGAACACCTTTCACCCTAATTGTCCCCAAATGCAGGAAGAAAATGAACATGTCCATCCCAGAAGGGACAGCTCTTTTGGTATGAACTCAGTGATCTGTGTCCAACTCCTCCATGATTCTGAGTATCACCTATCTTTTTAACACCAAGTATTTATTCTCACTAGCAATAGACAGATTTGACCGGTCCTTACCAACATCCACTAAGCTCTCACAACAGACTTTTTTTTTTTATGTCTTTAAAGGATCAATCACTGACTCTCTTACCAGGCAGAACTGCTGTCCCTAGCATCAGGCCAGTTTTGTGCCTGGGGACTCTATCCTTTGTTCCAGCAGATAGTCAAAAGACAAGGAGAGATTTCGTCCTTTGGGTCATGGACGCATTTTCCCTTGTCCTCGGTAAGTAGGTGAACTGCACGGAGGACGGCCCAGCTAGTCTCTCCTCTCCTACCACTGCCTGACTCTCCTTCACCTCAACTCTGTCCCTACTTGCCAGTGAAGTTCGGGTTTATCAGCCACTTGTGTCCCCTTCCACAACTGACCCAAGGGGGTGTCACCGATGCCTCCACAGGGTGCGTAGAGTTCGGTTCTGATAAAGAGGTGGCAGGAGATGATTTTCCACACATGCCGTTCCCTAAGGGGCCCCCCAGGGGTTGTTGTGCTGGCTTTGATTACTGTCAGAGCTGGCAGTGTAGACAGCCATAGCTGGTGGAGCCCAGATCCCCGTGTTCCCCTGAGCGGTAATCGGCCAGCTTCCTCCTCTCAGTAGCCAGTGTTAACTAGTCTCCCAAATGCTGTAGACATCAGCTATGAGGGAAACGGCTGTCAGCTGAGCTCTGAGATCTGCTCGGAGGGCACGGCGCACTGGCAGTGAGGGCAGCCAGAGGCCAGGGAGGGGAGATGGCCACTGATGAGACTGCCAGTCTCCTCACAACGCTGATCTTGACAGAAGAGGCTGCCTCCCAGGGGCCCCGGGAACATTGCTCCTTAGAACTCTCTGCAGTGGCCCCCTGAGGATGGCTCGCAAGGATGTTGAGTGCTGAGGTGGGTGCCTGCGAGCCATGCCACACGTGGGGTCCATGCTCCTCTCCTAGGAATATATGTGCAATTTTTGTATGGTTTTTTTTTTTTTAGCTGTATATTACAGTGTTTGTGTTGCAATTTTACCTGAAGCAAGTTCTACAGAAATCCTCCCCTTCCTCCCTTGGCACATACACATTTGCGCTAAGAAATGAGAGTTCCTTCCAGGGGGCTTGGGATGGGAGGGGACGCGGGTGCGCTTGTTTTATTCAAAACTGTGAGTATCTGTTTACTTCAACCTTGAAATCCCGAGTCACTCAGCTGTGTGAGTGTGCGTACACGTGGGTGTGCACACACGTGGGTGTGCACGTGCATGCTGGGAGCAGAGGCCGGACCTCTGAGGGGAACGACCTGTGGCAGGGTTGAGAGATGTGTCCTCTGCGTCTCGTGGGCGAGGGAACCCTGGGACCCCTCCCCTACCAGCACAGAGCTTCTGAAAGCCAAGACTGGTTGTGCAGTATTACTTAGAGAGCACATTGGTGGCCTTTTGGAAATTTCTAAACTTTTAACATTTTTAACAGCCTTTTTCATATGATTCACCTAAATCAAAGAGGATCAAGAAAGAAGAATGTATTTTATTGTGATCTTCTTTGTGTGTTTTGTTGTTGTTGTTGTTGTTGTTGTTTTTAAGAAAATGGGCCATGTGAGGCTCCCCATGGAGGATGCCCTTGTCCTCCTGGCCAGCCGTACAGGACTCCCAAGGAAGAGAACTCACCGGCCCACAAACAGCCTGGCCTCCTCTAGCCAGAGGGCAGGGCTTGACCCCTGGAACGGCTGCCGAGCGGGCCCGCCGCTGCAGGCCAGCAGTCCGCTCCGTCCGTGGGTCCTGGGGCATGGCTGTGCCTCGCCTCGTGGCCTGCTGTTTCATTCAGCTTAGCAGAGCCCACGTGCACATAAGTCCTTGCCTAATTATACACTGAAGTAGCAGTACCCAGACCACTGACCATGTCAGCCAGCACATTCCCTTCGCCGTCCTCCCCGCCCTCCCCCAGACGGTCCACAGATTGATACACTTACTCAATGTCATGCTCGTGGTGCCTTGCCCATGTAAATTTAAATGTTGACTATTTAATGAGGTTTCATATTTAATGAAGAATGTTCCCTGGGCCCTCTGTTTGTTCTCTAGGTATCCTTTTTCTTTTCCTTTCTTTTTTTTTTTTTTTTTCTGTTTGACTTGTATCTAGCCTTCTTCGTGTTAACTCTACAGTATTCTAGGCATGGACACCCTCGACTACCGTTACCCTAGAGCACTGGTAAACCGAGTCCCTCCCTCGCACCAGATTTGTTCAGTACTGTTTTCATATTCAGACTTGTTAAGGGCAAAAGATGAATACCACCTAGTCAGAGAAGGGCCTCAGGCTTCCCAGAGACAGGTGGCTAGATTAATTTTACTCTGCAGAATATGAGGTAGAGAGGGAAAAGGGTGTTACGGGTTCAAGCAGAACAGACAAAAATAACTATCTCTAGGCAAGAAGTACTACATCAGATGGTCCTTGGAGTATTTTTCCAGAGTAGTGAAATTCAGTCAGTTAATGTCACAAATTTTCTTTACACTCGCATTTTAATTACAGTAGGAACTTTGAATTCATTCATCAACTGGAAAGAAACCCTACCTTCGGACACAGACGGATATATATGTGTTAGAGTTTTGCATTATGACTAGGATAGCACTTTAAGTTTTCTCAAGTAATGTCAAGTTACCGTCTTCAATATTATTTGGAAATTTTTTCTTTTCTGTTGAAGTCTGTACTACAGATTCTTCCATTTATCGAGAGTTTGAACAATTAAGCCACCTTTGGAACTTTACCTTAAGCCGCGTGAGCAGGAACAATCTCTCTGACACATTTCGGTGCTAGAGAAACAGGGAAGTGGGTGGAGTAACCAAGATGAAGCCTGAATGTATATATAGCAGAGTGCCTTGTTCCAGTGACAAGCTAGTCTTGGAAGGAAGAGAATCCGACGTCCCACAGCAAGGACTAGGTCTGTGATGCCAGCCTGAGGGAGAGCCCCTTAGGTGAATGTACACTGATGTGATGCTGAGAAGCTAACTCATGAAGAATGACCGCAGGATGGGAGAAAGGGCAGTTGAACCTATGAAGTCCACATGAGTGAATCGTGAATGAGACCTACCAACCCCCAGACGAAGTGAGAATTGGAGGCCAAGAGGACGGCAGTGGGTTTCAAGGTTTGCCCTCTGGGGATGAACTGGGTGAGGGGTAGGAAGGGCACAAGCACCCGCACCACTGACACTGGGGGGTCAAGTAGAAAGTGCCTGTGAGGATTTTAAGAGTCTGGGTAGCCTTTCATCCTCAGGTCAAGTGGGGGCCAGTATTGCTTCCAGACTCAGAAGAAGGTTGTTAACATGGAAAACTCATAAGCCAAAACATCTAAACCTCTAGAAATAGTAATGATATTTCTGGGAGGAAAACTGTATTTTAAGGTTTCTAATATTGCAAATGAAAGAACTTTAGGGCCTACTAAATAATAAGGCATGGAAAGATTGCACTTAGCTTCCCAAATTTGAATTAAAAACACTTCCTTTAGGGAAGTAACCTGACTTGGTTTTGCCGGTAACCTGCAAATATAATACTTTCCCCTAGATTATACAGGCAGTGATCTGAAAAAAATACAGACTAGTACCAGAAATCAGGATGTACTCAGGATACTGCACTGTAATTCCAAATGATTCTAGGTGTTTGAATGAAGTGTAGACATACTTGAAGATTAAGGAGAGAGGGACTTAGCACCCCAGGCCAACTCTGACATGTTTTTTACTTCCCTCACTAGTTGATAAGGATTGCAAATTCTGGTCCAGCCTAACGAGTGAACAGGATGGCTGCCCACGAGACTGGGTTATTAGTTTTACCTCATTGAAGCTCATACTCTCAAAGGCCCGAAGTGCTGCACCAAGACAAAGCCAAGTGCGGCCAGCCCCGAAGGCCTTCTGTCCGTGCTCATGGCAGTGCCGAAAGTTGGGATCCTGTGGACCAAAAAAGATGGCGTAAGGGAAGCCGGGGAGCTACAATGCAAGATCCCAGATAGTGATGATACCAAAGAAATCCAGCCTTTTTGTCCAGATGCTTTGAAGGGGAGGAGGTTGAATTACAACAGATGCCATAGAAGGAGAGCTCACATACATTCCGTGTCAAGGGATTTGGCTGATAAAATAATCCATCCTCCAAAAAAAGCACCTACTTTTTAAAAATAAGTCCATTTTGTCTATTAGGAAAAAAGATGATAGTGATGATGAAAGCCGTGGTCCCCAGTATCTGAGGAGAGGGAACTAGTCCCTCTCCCCAGGACGTGACCATGGCTGTCGCCCTGACTTCATCTTGGGAACATTGCATCCATGTGATTCTGAGAGCTGGGCAATATTTTTTCTAGGAGACTGTGATAGTTTCAGTAGGTTTGTTTAAAGAACTCCTGGGAGGTTTCTTAACTAATCCGAGTCATTTTTATAAAGCTTCCTACAGAGGTGGTTACCACTCGTCACCATCATTTAAGATCTCCAAGTGCCCCGAATGTACAAGGTGCTACACAGCTGTTAACATCCCTTCTCCGTAGCTGTTTAAAATTAGAGTAGGTTTTGCATCAGCCACTGCTAGAAGCTCCCCCACCTAAGTGGGCTGCAGGGGCCTGCATTCCCATCATCCCATCACATGCTTCCCACTCCAGAGAGCCTCTGGGCTTAATCCAGCTTCTCACCTTTAACCCATCCCACTCACCCCCATGCTTTTTTTTTTTTTTTTTAATTAAGAAAGTTTCAGGGAATCAAAAGAGGTCGGAAATTTTTTAACCTAGCAGAAGTATAGAGTCATATATTTTGCTACGACTATTATTGTATTATGGAAAATCCACTTTGCCCGTCTAGTGTGTGGAAAGTGTGTGTTTACACTCACGATAATTTGAATGTTGAACAGCCCTATATGGCTTCAGGGTAGCATTTTTGAAGGAGAAACCACACTGCTTCAGGAAACTTGCTCCAAGTGCTACTCGGTTATCCCTTCCCTTGCCAGTTTTTTAAAGAGTTATGTGTGAACACACTGGGTTGGGATTTTCTGTTGATACGCAGGGCATTTTGGCATGAAATCAGGGCAGAAGCAAGATGTCATCCTTGTCAGTATTTGAATCATGGCAGTCCTCACTGCAGTCTCTCCTTAGTTCCCCATGGCTCTGCCCGCTCCCTATAGTGGAAAATCTTATTTCTCTTGCTCTTTCATGGAGCTTCAACCCTCTACATATTTTAGAGTTGTATAAATCTACCCATGTAAGGTCCCCTCTGTCACCAGGTGGTGCCGCCCCTTGGTTTGCTGTGGTACTTTGCTGTGTTCTCTGTGGCATCATGTTACTGTGTAAATAAAATTGTTTTAATATACACTAAAAACGAGACGGGCGTTTGTTTTCTCAGGGACCCTCCCATGCTGACACAGGGGGGAGGGTTTGCTTGCAGACGCGGTTGGTTTTGCCCCCAAGCGTTCATGCCCTCTTGAGTCTTTGCTCCCTGCTGACCTGGACGGTATTTC